ATTCAACTAGACGGAATAAATTTTTAGGGAAAAAAATACACTAAAATAAATAAATTGCCTTTTTTTTTGGTGAACACTTTCTTTTTCTTTTTTTTTTTAGATCATTAAGGACTTAAAATTTTTAAAAATTAAAAAAGAAAAAGCACTAAAAGAATAAAATTCATTTTTTTAACGTTTTAGATAAAGTAAATTTTTTTAATTAAAATATAATAAAAAAATTACTGAAAATAAACAAAAATTGAACAAAAATACACATAGATTTTTGTTCGAATTTTTGTTTATTGTTAGTAATTTTTTCAATATTTTAGCCAATTTATTTTTTAGATGCATCTTGATGCATCTAAAAAGTATAAAATGATAATAATAATAATTAAAATATAAAATTAAAAAATTACTAAAAAATAAAAAATAAAAAAAACTTATCTGAAATAATTTAAAAAAAAATCAAATCATTCCAAACTCACTCACAATATTATGGGGTCTTTTGGAAACAATGGTAAAAAGTCAACTTTTTGGTTTTTTAGCTTTTTTTAGCCAAAAAAGCTAAAAAGCCAAAAATTCACCTTTTTACCAATTTCTCAAAACACCACTATATTACAATAGTAAAGTAAATAGCATTTTTTATTTTTTATTTTTTATGACTGAGTATCTGGATCAGTTTGTACGTATCTTGACTAATTCCAAGTTTTGAAATTAACAACGTGACAAACCTCTAGTGACCCCTTGAAGTTTACAAAAATGTTAGAGATCTCAAAAATTTTACCAAAAGTTTTACTAAATATATCACATGGGTGTGGGACCTATATGTGACTCACATTGTGTGGGTCTCACACCCATGTGAGACATTTGGTAAAAACTTTAGTAAAATTTTTGAGATCTCTAGCATTACTCTTGAAGTTTATATGAGGACAAATTACACTAACAGTTCCTGTAGTTTGAAACTTGTGTCGCTTTAATCTCTAACTTTTTAATTGTGATACATTTAATTCTGAATTTTGAATCTTGTTTCAAATAAAAACAATCAAAGATGTTTACTTTGCAAACAGTTTATTTTAAGGGCAAAGTCGTCAAACAACTTATTTTATGTTGTTAACTTGTATGTTGTTTGAAATGTAATGGCCTTTCTTTTTAATGAATAATGCTGACACTTTTTTAGTTATAAAGTTATGTTTGATTTGGTTTTCAAAATCTATTTTTAGAAAATTTTTCTTAGAAACTAAAAATTAAACTAGTGAAAAAAAATTAAAAACACATAATTTTTCTATAATTTTATCTTTTAAAAGGGAAGAAATAATTTTTTAAATTGTTTTTTTATATTATTATTGTTAAATTAGTTTCTATTTTTTCAAGAGTCAAATATGACGACAACTTTGATATCATTATTAAATCAATCTATTAAATCAAAAAGGGTGTGGCTTATGTCCTGTCCATAATCGGATTGGACCGTACTGTTGGGTCTCGTAGGCCCACTTGCTCGCATCAATGATTCAAACTATTCAATTCATAGGGCTCGGCGAGTATTGCATCCCTACAAACAATCACGTTAATTAGATATCGATAGCCATTTGATCAAATTACATTTCTATCAACGTTCAGAACAACTTTAAAAAAATTATTAAAAGAAATGTGATCTGATCGAATAACAAACCAATATCCAATCAACGTGAGTTTTTGTAAGGATAAAGTACTCGACGAGCCCTACACATTGAATGGTTTGGATCATTGATGTAAGGCCCCGTTTGTTTTCAGAGGTAGAATAGAAGGGATTCATAGTGAGGAGATTAACAGCAAGGGGATTGATAGTGAGGAGATTAAGTAAAATTGTGTTTATTTTGATGATAGTTGTTAGTGTAGGGATTGTTAAATTATTTCTATATAAAATAATAGGGTAAATTACACTTACACCCCCTGAGGTTTGGGTATAATACATATCACCTCCTGAAGTTTGAGAAATTACACTAACCCCTCTGTCATTGTAATTATTTAGACGGAATGAAGATATTGAACTCATGCACTTTGCTTTGCTTTACTTTCTCTCTCTTCTTTTTTTTTTTCTTTTCTTTCTTTTCCTTTACTTTTTTTTTAATATAATTTCCTCTGTTTTTCTACTAAAAGTTGTTACTTTTTATATAAGTGGGGGGTTTATGAAATGAAACTATTAACCACATGGGTGGGAATGTAATTTTCAAAACGTCAGGGGGTGGGTAGTAATTGGATCAAACCTCAAGGGATGTCAACGTAATTTACCCAAAATAATAAAACAAATAAAAAAAATACAAAAACATTAAACATTAATGTTAAAACAAAAATGCCCAACATGTAAAAAAAAATTAAAAAAATTTCAAAAAAAAAAAATAAAACAAATAAAACAATGATTTTTACTTAACAAAAAATACAAAAAATTAAATATTAATGTTCAAAAAAAATGCCCAACATGTAAAAAAAAAATAAATAAATAAAAAATTTCTAATCCTTGGGATTATTTTTAAAATATCATCTCCACCTTCTCCATCTCAATCCTCTTTCCAAGGCCTATCCTAATACCAAGGGATTAGGAGTCCCTTCTACATCTCTCAAAACAAACAAACCATATAGTGAATCTCACCTCACTATTAATCTCAATGAGTCCGGATCCTCTCTAGCCATTCCTTTTGTCAAGGGCCAGGATTTGGCCATATCACTTTGGCCAAAATTTATGGCTCAGATCAAGTTTGGTTATAAAAAAGAAAAAAAAGTTGAATATTTTTTTCATTCAACATAGCAACAGAGAGATTAGGAAGAGGCCGGTGGAGGAAGAAGACGACTCAGGAAGAGAGGTCATTGTTGTTGTTGCTGGAAAACGAGCTTGAACTCCGACGATCTCAGACGACAGCTTCAAGACCAAGAGTCAATGAGCAAGCTCGCGAAGCTTTTGGAAACCCACTTTAAATGTTTGAAGCAGCTGGGTGTTGGAAACCCAGATTTTTTAAATGTTAAATTTGAAGCAACTGGGTGTTAAAATCATAGGTTAAAATCATGGTTTAAAAAATCTGAGTTTGTTTAAATGTTAAAATCCCAGATTCAAAGAAACAACTGGGTGTTAAAATCATGGGTTAAAATTTAACAGCTTTTAAAATCATCAAATGTTAAAATCATCAAGTCACAAATTTAAAGCAAACCCACTTTCTCTCTCTAAAATTCAAGCCATATAAGTCATCCAAATTCAACACTTTAGTTCTGGTTGCTTTAATTTCTTTCTTTTCTTTGATTTTTTGATTTCTTTCTTTATATTGTTTTTGGAGGGTTTTGCTTTGAAAAAATTCAGATCTAGAAGAAGAATGGGAGAGGGTGGTGTTGGATCGACCGAAGCTAGTAGGGGTGGGGGTGGTTTAGATTATATCTTTTAAGTGTGATTAATAACTAATAAAAAATATTTAGATTATAGATTTTAAGCGTGATTAATATCTAATAGAACATGTGATTAATTACATCTTTTGATTAATAACATTTAGATTATATCTTTTAAGTGTGATTAATAACTAATAAAAAATATTTAGATTATAGATTTTAAGCGTGATTAATATCTAATAGAACATGTGATTAATTACATCTTTTGATTAATAACATTTAGATTATATCTTTTAAGTGTGATTAATAACTAATAAAAAATATTTAGATTATAGATTTTAAGCGTGATTAATATCTAATAGAACATGTGATTAATTACATCTTTTGATTAATAACATTTAGATTATATCTTTTAAGTGTGATTAATAACTAATAAAAAACATTTAGATTTTAAGCGTGATTAATATCTAATAGAACATGTGATTAATTACATCTTTTGATTAATAACATTTAGATTATATCTTTTAAGTGTGATTAATAACTAATAAAAAACATTTAGATTTTAAGCGTGATTAATATCTAATAGAACATGTGATTAATTACATCTTTTGATTAATAACATTTAGATTATATCTTTTAAGTGTGATTAATAACTAATAAAAAACATTTAGATTTTAAGCGTGATTAATATCTAATAGAACATGTGATTAATTACATCTTTTGATTAATAACATTTAGATTATATCTTTTAAGTGTGATTAATAACTAATAAAAAACATTTAGATTTTAAGCGTGATTAATATCTAATAGAACATGTGATTAATTACATCTTTTGATTAATAACATTTAGATTATATCTTTTAAGTGTGATTAATAACTAATAAAAAACATTTAGATTTTAAGCGTGATTAATATCTAATAGAACATGTGATTAATTACATCTTTTGATTAATAACATTTAGATTATATCTTTTAAGTGTGATTAATAACTAATAAAAAACATTTAGATTTTAAGCGTGATTAATATCTAATAGAACATGTGATTAATTACATCTTTTGATTAATAACATTTAGATTATATCTTTTAAGTGTGATTAATAACTAATAAAAAACATTTAGATTTTAAGCGTGATTAATATCTAATAGAACATGTGATTAATTACATCTTTTGATTAATAACATTTAGATTATATCTTTTAAGTGTGATTAATAACTAATAAAAAACATTTAGATTTTAAGCGTGATTAATATCTAATAGAACATGTGATTAATTACATCTTTTGATTAATAACATTTAGATTATATCTTTTAAGTGTGATTAATAACTAATAAAAAATATTTAGATTATAGATTTTAAGCGTGATTAATATCTAATAAAATATGTGATTAATAACATTTAGATAACATCTTTTAAGTGTGATTAAAAACTAATAAAACCTGTGATAATAATTATTTAAATCACAAATTTTAAGTGTGATTAATTTCTAATAAAACCTGTAATTAATAATGAGATAAAATCACATGTTATATGCATTTCTCATCACAGTTAATGCATGTGATACATAAAAAAGGTTCAATATATTTGAAAAATAATCAATATTATTTTTGTACACGCATTTGAAGAATATAATATACACTATATACTATACTTTGAATCACAACTATATATTGAATGGAATAACATCATATATTTCATAAATGAAAATTAAATCTTCAAAAGTATATACAAAGAAATTAATAAAAAAAAAATTAACTGTGATTACATATATTAAAAAATGAAAAAACTTGAAAAACTAAGTTCTTGAATCCTTCGATCATATTTTGCATCTCTCCAAGAAATTTCTAACTTGAAAAATGAAAACACAAACTAATTCAAAAACCTCTAGAACCATACGAATAAACTAACTATTTGTAGAGACTATTCTAGTCTTACAAAAGATAAAGTCGGACCTTTTCTCATCACACTGACTCTTCATCTCTTGCATCAATAGAAAAAGAATAACCACTTTGATTGTTATCAGTATAAAACGTTTGGATTACCATATAGATATGACATATACATAGAATCAATAAATTCAAAATAAAAATCTTAAATACATGGCCAGAATGCAAACACAGATAACAAATGCAGACAAAGAGACTTGAATCCAAGACCTCTCCCAACCTGACCTCTGAGTCCATGTTAGATCACCACTAATCCCAAAAGCTTTAAGTTGTTGGGAAAAGGGAATAATGCATATTAAGCTCTCCAACAACCTCAACCAGAAGGATCTTCTTCTAAAGAAATTTTTTTCTTAGTTACAATAAGGTTTAAGGTAATAGGATATAATTTGAGGGCAACCTTTGAAATGGATGTTTCAATAAAAGCAGGAAGTATGAACTGTTCTGAAGAATTGGTTCAGATGGTGTACTAATCTAAATAATTCGTAATGTGCCATCTGGAGGTTGGCTTATCTAGCATACACAGATTGCTGAAGTAGAATTCAAGTAGTTTAAATACAAGTCTGTTTTTCTTATTATTCAGTGGTAAATCCTAGATCTTAAAATAGTGAACTTCTATGCTTTAGAATTTCAAAATGATCTAAGGACATAAAATGCTTTTATTTTTGCTCCTAAAAGCAGGATATCAAAGTCATTCTAAACTGTCAAGCAAACAATACCTAATAAAAAATTATAAATAACCACGTCAAGGCCACAACAGAACTTGCTTCCATTCAACATTGGTCTCTTGACTCTCACTAGGTTCTGATTAACAATTTGCCCCAACAGTTTAATGTCTTAAAAGTTCACTTTGTCATTTTTTATATTAGTGTGGGATTAACATAAAGTGAAAGAAACAATAATAATTTTCATCACCAATTTAGCGCTATGAAAGGTCAGTGTCCCATATTTCAGATTATGCAAACTTGATCACAAATAGATTACTAGCATATGGCAGTAGCACAGATAAACATCTCACAATGAACAATTATGCAAACTTGATCACAAATAGATTACTAGCATATGGCAGTAGCACAGATAAACATCTCACAATGAACAATTATGCATCTTATCTTCCTGATTTCTCAATTTGTTTTATACAATTCATAGTCAATCATAAGGAATTAAGCAAAAATAGAGGGTAGCACTCAAGATAAGATGGCAAGGCAAACGTACATGTTTTATGTAACTTATTCAATACTGTTTAAATATGAAGGTAAACCATGTTGATCCATCCTACCTGTTCTGTAGCTTTGCTCTTAGAAGGCGCATATAAAGCTGAGATGATCTTATAAGATTCAGCAATATGAGCTTCAAGATCAGCAATAGAAGGCATAAACACCGTATGATCATTTTCTCGATGCTTTCTAGGACAAGGCTGGCCTGATTTGATGAGCGAATGATATGCAGGAGAACATGAGCCTGTAATACAAGGTAAATTCATCTTGAACACAATTATACCAAATTCCTGGCAGAACAACACCAAAGCTGCTTTCAAAATGTCATCAGATTTTGCTTAATCTTTGAGCAATGCACATACATTTCCCTTTGAAGGATTATATGTTACTGTATATCTCTCTTTCTGTAAAAAGAAGAGAACAAAAAATACAGAGAAGAAGTTGAAACCATATGTGAGAAGACGTAAGGTATTCAAGGTAATAGAAGAGGATATGAGAGAGAATTCCCTGCTTGTAAATCATCTCCCTTAAAAAGGCATATACCTCAAAGATAGGCTCTATGGCAAGATATGAATTTGGGTCTTGGAATGCATCCTTAAATCTCGGTCCTGCCAAATAATCATAACAAACTTCAGTTTTAACTTGCGAATCAGTGAATTTAGAGGTGCATCAGGTGCTGTTATATACATGCTGCATACCAAGAACAACAGGCCTCTCCTTTGACCAGGGAAAACCAAATATTTTTTCCATCCTATTTCCCTCATTCAGTGTTGGAACTCTCCCTGCAAAATAAATACACAACACAATTAAGCCACAGGATATCAGAAACGGGCCTTCATTTTATGTGCATATGGGACTTGATGATCAAGTGAGATGATCAAACAACAGAACCCCATCAGCACAGGTGAGTGGGGCACTTGTCCTAACCTGTCTTAAGGAAGGAATCTATAGCCACATTTAACCTGGCTCGATTCAGCGTATGCAACACAACAGATTTAACCTGGGCAAAAACAAAAACAAAAAAATAGAACACTTGGTAGGTAAATATGACACACTTTGTTCCATATGGCACAAAAGTATATAAAGGGAAAAAAATTAATACTAATATACAACAAACAACCTCTTGGTAGGAGCTACAAACGTATCCACATGAAAGGAAGGCAAATGTTGTGACTAGGGAGGGATTTCTTTTTGCCATCATGATGCTCAACCCAGTTCCAAGCTTCAAAAAGCAAGGGTTCAGCAACATTAGCTCTGAGTAAAGATGTTCAATGCATAAGTATGTGCATCAAGCACACTGTAAAAGACCATAAAATTCATACCCAATTCTCAGCTCACTGATCCAAGTACCATCAAGTGCCAAAGTAGAAATGTTACAACATAATGTTGCAATAGTTCAGTTTTTCCTTTTATTTAACATGAAATAACATATTGCCATGAAAAGGTGTGATGCCCATCAATCTGTTATTACTCTCACAATATGCAGAAGTTCAAAAGTAGGAACTTACTTGGCTCCATTAGTATATTACTTCTTCAAAAAACCAACCAACCAACCAAACCAAGCCTTAAGTCCCATCAAATGGGGTCGGCTACATGAATCCTTCTTCTCCACGCGGCCCTATCAAAGGCCATTTCATTAGTAAAAAAAAAACCACCTTTATTAACTGCCAAGTGTTTTAATGGTTATGGAAATTGTGATGTGAAGTACACATAAAACTCTATAGTGCAACTCAAACTAATAATGGGGCTTTTAGTTATTATTTAACTCAATAGTCTATGGCTGCTATCCTGACTTGTAGAAACACTAACTTAAAAAACTTGAAGTCTCCAATGTATTTTTTCCACAATGAGATCTATATGTAGCTGAAACTTGAAATATGCTTCATATCAAGCACTATAATACATTGTCTAGACAAAGAGATTGACTAGAGAGAGAGAATGAAAACCTTAAAATTAGGAGCATTTCTTATATTGATCACACATCTTCTGACATATTTCTTCTTCAACTCTTTGATCTTGCTTCCATGTTCTCAACTCAAAGTTCTGATGAAGTGTCATGTGAACATCCAATCTCAGAAACTGAAAAGAAAATTTTCCAACAGGACTTACATACAATATTAGTCATATTACATATGGGTCTTTTGCCTTCTTCAATTCACGTATTAGAGATAACACCTCCCAGAATGATAGACCCCATCTGTCCACTCCTGAAGTCTCCATCTAGAAGCTATAAGCTTTAGAAGATAAGGACTGACACAAAGGAATAGTTCCAGGGAAAATAAGAAGAATAGAATGATGATCTTTGTGCAAATTTGATTTCCTCCATGAAAGTGCAACCTAAAACAGAAAACATTTAAATTCAGAGGAACAAGGGCATTTAATGTGTTAAGGAAGAGGAAGGTACAATGGGACCAAGGGGGCCATGGCCACCCCTGATGTTCAACAAACCCATTAGGTATTGTATATATTAGGTCCTAAAGAATATATATAATGTGATGGCCTTTACACTTTTCATGGAAACAACTGAAAACTAGTTTGCTACTTATATATGCAACCTCTTTTCTCTTACTTGGTTTCCTTTATTTTTTAAAATTATTTTTCCTCTTTCTCACAAAACAAAGATTTGCTTATCTTTCATTCACGAAAAATTATTAGGCAGTTTAGGAGTATCATGTGATATTATTTATGTTTTACTCCGATAAATGAGTAATTGCAAAATATATGAAGTAGGTCATCATTGCCTCACTATCTAACAAAGGTGAGTCATCATTGTCTCACTCGTAAAGTTTTTCATTTCGACATTTGTTGGAAGTACCCCATAAATAATATTACATGGTATTTTGGGAGCTTATTTTACGAAATTATTCTATTGATATTAGGAACATCTCTTTTTTTTTTTTTTCTTCCCGTTCTTGTATATGGAAAGCATTCTCAAATAATTTGTATTTCAAGAGAAAAATCCTTAAAAATTGAAAAAAAAAAACAATGTATCAATGCGTATCACTAATGCAAAGACATCAATTCCTTAAAAGTTGTCTAACAAGTCATCTTGGCCCTCCTTAAAACAAAATCCTAGCTTCGTCTCTGATAACAAGGTAGTTGGCATAACAAGCTTCCCAATTTCAATAATTTCAGATGAGGAGGACCAAGGTGATGGGGTGTACCAAAGCTAGAATGAGGTGACAAATTCAATTCTATCAAGAACTTTCCAGATGAAGGTCTTAGCTTCAATGCTTTTCTATTATGTTCTTCCAACATGATCCAATTAGCTGTAAGTGAGGCACAACCATACACAATATTCATCTAAAACCTCTTAAACTGAGAAAAAACTGCAGCAGGATAGATAAGAAAACAGCGGCAATATGTGGCACTTTCATACTGGCCATGCTCAAACACCACATCATGACATTATTGGCAGCTACAATGATCAATAAACAACAAAATATACATGCCCATAAAATCATGATTAGTAAGAATACCTCATGAACAATCATGTAAACATGTAATGTAACAAATGGGCACTATTGAAAAAGCAACTATTTCCATCACTACAACTTGTAGATAATAAACAAATGACAATGATGTAAGGACAGTTAATGAGATGTGAGATTGTTTAATAATTGATCTAAGAGTTCTGAACTTGTGAATTAGGAATCTCCAATAGCGATCTTTAGTGCACAATTTGTCTATAACAAAGCATTATCTGGCACAAATTTTTAGTATTTTCAGGTGCTGGGTTGCTCAGAAGATGTCTTATAAAGAGTCTTGGACAAAATAAGTAACTAACAAGAGCTAATCATCAACGGCAAAAGTTTTTTCATTCTTCTTTTATAATTTTAAAAGGCAAAATGAAGAACAAAAAAAGCAAAAATTCAAGTGCATATGTAAACACACAGGTGCAAAAAGCCTATTTTTGCCATACCTGCAAGGGTGCAAACCTGAATTTCCCCATCTATAGACACCTTAGTGTAGAGCTACATAAAGCCTATTTTTGCCCCAACATAAGTTCCCGACTATTATGTGCATATAAACTAGGCTCTCTGTGTGAGATATACACAAGGCATAGATGTCTACCACATAGTGTCTTGGTGCAGGCAAATTGTTTTCAAAGCTTCTACCAAACACCAAAAAAGAAGTGAGGAAAAACATTGTTTTCATGTAAAAGGTTCTACACAAAAAACATTTTCTAGTCAATCACATTATATTGACAAACATGGCAAATCAAATAAGACTTTTATTCCCATTTTTCTCTAAAAAATTAGAGTTGCATTGATTATTATTGTATATTATCATTGCTCAGCAAAATGGTAAAAGCTCTAGAGCAGCATGGGCACAAGTCTATGAGCAGCTACTTCCTGCAATCACTGCCAAGGATTATTCTATTTCCACTTCAAAGCAAGGATATGAGCTTGAAAATAATATGCTCAAACCCTACATAGCTAAGAAAAAAGTTTGATCGATGGGTTTACCGAACAGCAGAAGGCGATGCTACAGTAACAACAGGAGCAGAAAGAGCCTGCGTGAGAACTATTTGGTCTACATGATGAACAGGAACCTGGAAGAAGACGATAGGAATCAAGGGCTGCCAGATATAACTCAATTGGCCACCATCAGCACCAAATAAAGTTAAGAGTTAATGACATATCAATTTCTTTTTTTGTTATAAGTAAAAACTTATTGAAAAAAGCATCGAAAGGGGATGAGCTAATGCCATCTTTGTGTCTATTTATAAAAATAATAAATAAAAAAGTCTCTGTCTCCTATAAAAAGAAAAAAATCAGCAATTGTTGAATAACCAATTCCACTAAAAGCTAGATGAAGTTATACCTTCTGAGAATGGGCAGCAACTTAGTACTGCACAGAATTGGCATAAGCTTTTCTAGGCAATGCCAATTTTGAGTATGGAAATAGAAGATTGAGCCTATATGCCCTTACCAATTAAAACTTTGCACAAAATTATTAATACACACCTCATTAAAATCATCCATCAGCTCAATGCCCAAATTAAATTAATTTATCGAGTTGCTTGTGTAAAATTGCTCTTTACTGAGTGTGACCAATTTACAGAGGTATGGAATTGACCAATTTAAAGATGAACATAAAGCTAAACACTAAAAAATGCAGACATGTTGGGAACTGTTCTCTCTCAAGTACAATGGAGAAAGAAAATGGAAAAAGCTTAAAAAGCATGAGGAATTACAATTTACAAGGAGTCCTAGTCATTACAATTCAATAGTACCCTCCCCAAAAAAATTTAAATCTAGATAAAGAAAGCTTTTTTCTTTCAATAGCAGGTACACATAGAGAATATGCACAAAATGAAATTAAGAGGTCAATAGAAATTTAGACACATGAAACTAACAAGCCAAAAGCGGTGATTGAAATTTTAGAGTTGACCAGAAGGGGAAAATGGACTATCCAGAACCACAATGCACCAATGTGATCAAACTTAGAATATTTACCGCCGTGTATGTATTCAGCCTTGTGACTTCGAATCCAAGATTAGGCAGGCCTTCTTCTGAAAAAAAAAAAAAACAAAAAAAAAAAAAAAAAAAAAAAAAGAAAGTGACAAATATCAAAGGCAACAACTGCAAAAAGTAAATAAATTCAGCATCATCACCAGGTTTTCATATGCATATCCAAGATAAATTTTTAAAGAAATTATTTACTAGTGATAGCTTTAAAAATTAGAGCCCTAATGAATCAATTTTTTTAGAAATCTAGGAAAAATATTGGCAGTGGCATGTGGTTCACAATGATCAGCTACTTTCAATGATATTAAAACAAATTGGAGGAAATCGGAAATCAAACACAGTTTGCAAACATGGACCAGTGTGTCCTTAAAAAAATTTATTCTGTGTGACAATAAAGCAAACATGTATTACTGAAAGTAGCAAAAGTACATAAATAGTTAGGTGAGTGTAAGATTACACATCTTTGGAAATTCTCAACAAATTAAAATTGGACTTTCCATAGTTTTGCATGTTACAAACTAAAGAGAGCACCCACATGCTAATTGAACAAAAAAATCAAACTGAATGTTCATATCTTAATACTTCATGCATAACAATACGGAAGAAATCAACATTAAGCCATAGAATACATTCAAAAAAAAAAAAAAAAATATCAATTTTACAATGTAATGAAGGAGAATTGAAAAGCAAGTCTTGGATTTGTGATGGAAATTTTTTCAAACAAAACAACTCAAACCTGGTGAACTAAGGATTCTCCACACAAGATAATGAAATGACCCTTCAACTCTAAAATACCCAACAATAGGGCAATGTTTCACACAAGTATTTTATCAAACACAAGAAGGGGTTCTACACCGTCACCCGCTCCCAACCCTCTTCTGACTCCCCAACCTCTTCATTCCCCTTAGGAACCCTTATCCCACCTGGTTACACTTCGCCCCTTGCCACAGCCCCTCCAACTCTCTACTACATAGATCTGAAATGCCACTCTACTTCCTCTTATCCACAACCACAAAACTATTTTTCTCCACCACAACTCTGAAATGCCCGTCCTTTCCCTCCCTACTATAGCACTGCTAGCCCTCCTCCTCTCACACCGCACCTCCGTTACACCATTCTATCCCCACCATAGCGCCACCACGTTACCGAAAACCCTTACCCCACCATTAAACAACTACGGGAGAGAGAGAGAGAGAGAGGCCATACCTTTGTAAGGGAGAAGGGATGGCGAGTCCACTGTGAGGGAGATTGGAAGAGGCTGAAGAGATGTTGACATGGAGCATACAATGAGGTGATAGGGTTTTATTTGGAAAAAATGTTGTTTTGTCCTTATAAATTCAATCTTCTTTAGAAATGGAGTCATGCCTGCTGAGAGTCATGGAAGAGAAAAAGGCACCAGTTTGGAATATATTTTTATATAAAAACAATATATTCAAAAATATATATAATCACATGTTAATTAAAAGAGGAGTTTTTTTTTTAATATTCGAAAAAAGAAAAAAATTAGAGAATTGACTCCTTTTCAAACTATTTGGGAAACTAACCTACTTTTTGAAATCACATGTTGAAAATGCAATTTCAAAAAGTGAAGTACGTGACATCCTAAATTGCATTTTCAACATGCGATTTTAATAAACAGGTTAGTTTCCCAAATAGTTTGAAAAGTGGGTCAATTCTCTAAATTGTTTTTTTTTAGAATATTTAAAATAAGAAAAAATAAATAAATAAACTCAATTAAAATGTGTGATTAAAAAATATATATATAATCACACTTAATTAAAAAGTGACATAAAAAATAAATATTATCACACTCAATCAAATTAAGTGTGATTAAAATATCAATCTAATTTTTTTTTATCACTTTTAATAAAAGTGAGATATTTTTATTTATCAAAATGTGATCTTTAACTGTCTTTGTAGTAATGATATTTCATCTATCATTTTCATTTCTCTTTCTAAATCCCTCCTTAAATCCCTCAATCAAACACAGCATAAAAAGGAGTTCAACATGGACAAGACGAAACATGGCATATTTTGTGCACTCATTCCCCTCATGGCATACATGGCCTATCATGCAAGACCAATCCCATGCCAAGGCAATTTTAGGTGGAGTTTGACAATTAATTTGTATATATATATAAACCTGATGCCAGACCAATCCTGTGCCAAATAATCAAGTTGTCACTAGGATGACTAGCCCAAGGATTCCCATCTCCGAGCAAACTGTGTGACTATGTTTAGATCATAAATTTGAATAAAGATTTGTAGTGGAAAAATGTAAATGAAAGTGAAAAGTAAAAAATAAAAAAATTTAGCTTTTTCTTTTTTTGTTACTATTTTTCTTCCCTTTTCCTTTCCTTCCATAAATCCCTACCCAAGTTCAGAACTCAATCTAAAACTTCCTGCAAAACTTTTCCAAGGAGAACTTGATTGACAAGCGGACGTGAACCCATTTCCAAACGGGCCCATAACTCTGCCATGGTCTTTGTTGCCCACACTTTGTTCTAGACAAATCGAATTTGATCAGCGCAGGCGCACAACATCAATTTCCCTTCAATTATCTCATGGACTGCGATGAATGTGATGATTTAAATATATAAATAAATGAATAAAATGCTATTTATTATCGAATTTAATTTACTTCTTTATTTTATATTATATATAAAGCTAATATAAATAAAATAATAATAAGACTTACTATGATGTATGAAAAGTCACATAGAAAGAGAAAAGTTGGTGTGAATTATTTTGGTCTCTGTCAAATTAAAGACTTTATTACAATTTTGCTAAAATGGTCTGAGAGGGAGATTTCATAATCTGGCTTTGGGCCGTGGTAATGGCCCGGCAAGTTTAGGCCGAGCTAGGTTGGGCTAATTCGGTGGTAGTGCGCTCGGTCAAGGCCCAGGTCCGATTTGGCCGGGGTAATTTCGGACTGCGGGCCCGGTTCACTTTATTTGCTCGCTGAGTTAGACGGGTCAGATCCTCCGCAGACCAATCCAACCGAGTAGGAGCTTGGTCATAGCAGAGGGCGGCTGAGCTGCAGTGGAAGTAATGCATGTCATAATGGAGCTCAGTCATAACAGAGGGCGGCCGAGCTCGGTCATAACAGAGCTCGGTTCAGAGCATTGCATGCCTCGGAAGTAGTGCGGTCGTAGGAAAAGGGGGCGGCGCCGAGCTGTCCGTTCGCGCCAATGTCGTTTGGCAGTTTGGTTAGGTTAGGTGGTGCTTAGTTGTATTTGCGCTGACACGTGGGAAAGCAGGTCCATGCGTTGCCAAGTGAATGGACACAGAGGCACACGCAGAAGGTATATAAGCGTGACTGCGCCCTCATACTGAGGTATGGAACATCTTCTGGTGAGAGAAAAACTAACACATTGTCTTCTCTCTCTTCTCTCTCTCAGTGTGTGCTGACTTGACCGTCGGAGGGGTTTTCCGGCAACACATCGCCGGGTAGCTCACCTTCATTGTGTTCTTAGGTTGATCAGAGGAAGGCGCAGCTTGGACACGAGGAGTATGGATAATGTCGGATATTTGGCTCCCGTACAATTAGCGCCGTCTGTGGGAAGCCCAACAGATATAACCTTGTCCTCCAAGCTCATCTGATCATCTTTCATGGCGAACAACGACAAAGTACCATTGTCTGCCATTGACGGTATTACTCCAGAGTCTGTCCGGCGGAGAGACGGACTTCCCGCCGTTCCGAACATGGCGGGCCTGGAGACCTTACCAGGACTCCCTAGAGATGCGCGAGATAAGCGCGCCAGAAGCATTGATCATTCGCAGAGTCCAGACGGGCACCGACAACGAAGAGAGTCGCACGCTCAACGCTTGGAGCACAAGTTGAGGAATCAAGACACCGTCATCCGAAGAATGGCAACGGAGATGGAAGCTCTCAAGCAGCAGGTTAAAGGTAAGGGTGTTGCTGGAGTGGATGACCACAGTGAGCGCACCCAACCCCGCCGCTCCGGCAGCCAAAACCAGCGACACACCTCTCTTTCCATCAACAGAAGCTATGGGGTTGGAGACTCTGACCCACCGGCAGAGAAGTCATGCGCGCAAGATAGCAATTACCGTCCCTCACGTCCGCCGACGACGTCGAGATATTCCTACTCCGCTCGTTCGGAGGACTTGAAAGACGTCTTGGAAGAACAAGCGCGCCGGCGAGAGGCTCAAAGGGTGCCGGCACTCCAGCAGTTATCCTACGGAGGTCGCGCTAGTGAAGAGGTCGTAATGCCACCAACCCGATCAGTTGTACCTGTCCCTTTGGACAAAGATTTGGCAAGATTGAGCGCCACCCCTTTCTCCCTTGAGATAGAGACCACACCGCTTCCAGCGGGCTTTCACCAACCCAAGTTTACGCTCTATGACGGAAAAACCGATCCGTACATGCACGTAAGCCACTTCTGACAGGTTATGGCTGGATACAGGCGTAACGATGCTCTCATGTGCCTTATTTTCCCGTCGAGTTTGGGCGAGTTGGGCTTGAAGTGGTTTGAGAGGCTTCTAGAGGAAAGCATCGAAAGGTGGTAGTAGTTGGCAGAAGCATTCGTGACTCGATTCAAAACTAACACCAAAACGCCAAAGGAAGTTGACCATATCTTGAGTGTCAAGATGGAGTTAGGCGACTCCCTCAAAGCATACAACGCCAGATGTTAGGAAACTTACAACGAGATCCTTGATTGCCTGACTACCCTGGTAATCACTCAATATAAGCGCGGTCTCCTAATCGGACACAGACTGAGGGACTCGCTCACGATGAACTAACCAACTTCCATGGAGCTGTTGATGCACATCCGAGTAGAGAACGATGCGACTGCGTCCACCGCGAAGACAAATCCGGTGGCAACGGACAAAAGGGTGGCTGGAAAAGTCCACACGGTCGGACAGAAGGCAAACCGTCCAAATGACCGCATAAGGGAATCAGACCGTGGTCCGGATCATAGAAACCGGGGTAAAGGTCGCCGCAACGACTGAGCAGATTATCCCCGTGATGACGTTGCAAATGCAAACAGGCTTACGTCTGGTTTACGTGAAATCCGCGACGAGGCTTACGTCTGGTTTCCCGCTAAGTTAGGCGATACGCAGAAGGGCTTCAATTCGCGGTACCGCTGCACATTTCATAGGGAGCGAGAGCACCGGACGGAGGACTGTTTGCCCTTGAAGCAACACTTGGAGGAGTTGGTTGCCGCCAGACACTTGGACCGTTACATCGATGGAGGCGTCAGGGCCGCACACCATGCTCCAGCTGAGCCAAGTGGTTTGGACGACCTAGAAGCACCCCCTAAGGAGTGGTCAATATGATCCACGATATAGTAGAACCGGCGTGGGTATGCGAGCTCCGAGGGATGATAAAAAAGCGGAACATATGAGGGAAGTTTTGTCAGTCCAGCCCGCGATCAAAGGAGGCAAGACCGAAGAGAAAAATGTGCTTAACTTCTCAAGCAGGGATCTTAAGCGCATTCAAACGCCACACAATGACGCTTTGGTGGTCACCCTTCGCGTCAGGGACTTCGATGTTAAGCGCATTTTGATCGACCAAGGTAGCTCGGTCGAGATCATGTACTATGACGCCTTCAAGCAACTTAAACTCAGGGATACAGATTTGGCTCCGGCAACCTCGCCGCTGGTTGGTTTTAACTCACAACCGGAGTGGCCAATGGGAAAGATGATCCTACCGGTCAAAGCCGGATCCGTGGTCAAGCAGGTGGAGTTCTGGGTGTTAAAGATGCCGTCCACATACAATCTGATCCTAGGTAGGGAGTGGCTTCACATCATGCAGGCGGTGGTGTCGACCTACCACCAGGTCATGAGGTCCCCCTCGGCTACGGGGGAAATAGAGGAGATTTAGGGAGATCAAGTCATGGCTAAGTAGTGTTTCATGGTTGTGAATGGGAGCCAAGCAGCCAAAGGCTTCGTGCAAATGATCAAGGGCCCGGAAGTTCAAAGTGTCCTGGATAATGTTGGCACTAAGGCTGAGGAAAAGGCTGTTGAAGATTTGGTAGAGGTGCGAATCGGTACAGAGAATCCTGACAAGTTTTTTTTGCTGGGATCCAGCCTGACCGCCCAAGAATAGATAGAGATGGTGGAGTTCTTGGTGGCGAATATCTAAGTATTTGCATGGACGCCATATGACATGTCTGGCATCGATCCAAGCTTTATTTGCCACCAACTCAATGTCTTCCCGGACGCACGGCCTATCATTCAAAGAACGAGGAGATCAACCCTTCATCACACCGAGATAGTGGCGGAGGAAGTCAAAAACCTGCTAGAAGCTAGGGCAATCCAAGAAGTGCACTATCCTTGATGGGTTTCAAACACGGTCGTAGTACCCAAGAAGAATGGAAAATGGCGAGTTTGCGTTGATTACAAGACGATTAATTGAGCTTGCCCTAAAGACAGTTTTCCTTTGCCCAGAATCGACCAGTTGGTGGATCTTACAGCCAGTCACAACTGACTCAGTTTCTTAGATACCTATCACGGTTATCACCAGATCGCCATGCATGAACCCGACCGTAAGATAACCTCTTTCACGACGCTGAGGGGATTGTTCTGCTATAGAGTCATGCCTTTTGGTTTGAAAAACGCTGGGGCGACTTTCCAGAGGATAGTGACCAAGATGTTTGCCCCTTTACTCGGCCGCACAATGGAGGCTTACATCGACGACATGGTGGTCAAAAGCAAACATCAGGCCGACCACTTGTCCGACCTAGCCGAGATGTTCGCCATACTTAAACAACACAAGCTTCACCTGAATGCGTCAAAGTGCCTTCGACGTGGGGTCAGGGAAATTCCTAGGCTTCCTAGTCACCAACCGAGGCATCGAAGCGGACTCCTCACAAATCAGAGCCATACAAGCATTGAAGCAGCCCAACTCGGCAAAGGGCGTAAACATCTTGCCGATATGGTAGCCGCGCTTAACCGATTCATAAGCCGGTCATCAGATCGTTGCCGTCCTTTCTTCCGAGCCTTGAAGTCCAAGTTTTCATGGGATGAATAATGTGACAGGGCCTTGGCCAAGCTAAAGACATATTTGTCTTCCGCCCCACTCTTGGTCACACCCAAGCACGGCGAAGAGCTCTACCTTTATCTGGTTGTTTCTGAACATGCAGTTAATGCGGTGCTCGTCTAGGCTGAAGGTATCCAACATCTCCCAATCTTCTACGTGAGCAAAACCTTGCTACCGGCCTATGAAGCATGGGTACTTCGAAAAATATGCCGTACCCGTACCGGGTACTTACCGGCGTACCGTACCTCGTATGGTACTTCTGCATACGTACCGGGTACACGAAACATGTACTCAAGTTTTTTCTTCTTAATTTTTAACGTACCCAAACGTATCTAGTATATATCCAAGCCGTACCGTACCTCAGTTGAAACAATATATTCCTTCTACTACAGAGATAAAACTCATTTCACTAGATTTCTTTTTTAGTTTTTGTTTTATGCTTAGCATGATTTTAAAATTAAACTATGATTTGTAAGTTGTTTAATATATTGATATTTAATTTTGATTTATACTTTTCCTTTTGGCATTAAATGTTAATTATAGGTTGGACCTTAACAAATTAAACCATTTAATTATTTTTTACATTACTCTAAATTAAAAATAAATATTTTTTTACAAGCGTACCAAGCCGTACCCGTACCCTATTTTTTTTGAATTTTACCGTATCGACGTACCCGTATCGTACCAGTACCAATACTCGTACCCGTACCTGTGCTTCATAGCTACCGGCAGAGTCGAGATACTTGTCGCTGGAAAAACTTACTTTGGCACTAATGATGACCTCCAGGAAATTGGTGCACTACTTTCATGCTCACACAATCGTGGTGTTGACCGAATTCCCTTTGAAAGCCTTATTTGAGAGAGCGGATTTCTCCGGCCGAATTCTGAAGTGGGCAGTCGAATTGGAACAATTCAACATCAAGTTTCAACCCCGAACCGCCATCAAAGCCCAAGCATTAGCTGACTTTGTTGCCGAATTCTCGCTTGGAATTCACCCAGTCTGCCCGGTGGATCTTACCGAGGCAGCTGAGGTGAAGGGGGTAAGCACAGCGGAAATTGCACAACAAAGTGATGTTGGCGACACGGAACTTGCATGCTCGTCCGCAAATCCATCAGTCGGAGGTGTGCTTCAGCCTGGCAATGCGACGTTGGATTTGGGAATAACAGGTCAACCTATTGGATCCAACGCCGCATCGCCGAGGGGGATGAAGACACGTCTGTTGCAATTGACAACGGCGAGCTTGTAGCAGAGATAGCCAAGCAACCGAGCGACCGTGATCACCTAGACCTTCAAGCATCCCAAGATCCCTCAAAATGCTAGAAACTTTTCATTGGCGAAATGTGAAAACTTTTTGTAGATGGCACCTTAAACCGGCACAGCGCTGAGCTAGGCATAGTTTTGATCTCGCCAGACGGACTAATCATCGAACACTCTATCACGCTCGAGTTCCCAGCGTCAAACAACAAGGCTGAGTACGTAGCATTACTAGCTGGACTCAAAAGTGCGCTCCAATTGCACGCATTCGAGCTGATGGTCTACAGCGACTCCCAACTCGTTGTAAACCAAGTGTCTAGAGAGTATGAAGCCAAAGATGACAGAATGACCAAATACCAAGCTCTAGTGAGAGAACACATCAAGAAATTCCAGCAATAAGGATTCAACAAATTGGTCGTAAAGATAACGGCCGAGCAGATGAGTTGGCTGGCTTAGCTTCCATGTTTGACAGATCAACTCCCAGCCCTCTTCTGATTGAGTTTCTCCCAAGACCCAGCATTGAGGACTCGGAGCAAACAGAAGTATTCTGCACCGAGCTTAGTCCTTCTTGGATGGGCCCTATCATCCTTTTTCTTAAAGAACGGACCCTGCCAACCGACAAAAAGGAAGCACACAAAGTCCATGTGAAGTCAGAGCGGTTTTGGCTCTCTCCATCTGGCGCTTTATATAAGAAGTCATTCACCGGTCCATACCGTAAGTGTATTCATCCAAACAGCGCGGAGGCTTTCCTTTACAAGATCCACGAAGGCATGTGCGGAAGTCACATCGGGGGGAGATCTTTAGCCTAATGCGCTATTTCGCAAAGATACTGGTGGCCGTGCATGCAAGCAGATGCGCATAAATATGTTAGAAAATGCGAAAAATGCCAAAAGTTCGCCCACCAAATTCACCAGCCGGCCAGAGAATTTCTCCCCCTCACCAGCCCTTGGCCTTTTGCAATGTGAGGACTGGACATAATGGAACCACTCCCAACAGAGTCGGGCAACCGGAGGTTCTTCATTGCGGCAACAGACTACTTCACCAAGTGGGTTGAAGCCGAGCCCTTGGCGATTATCAAAGAAAAGGATGTCAAGAGGTTTGTTTGGCAGAACATGATTACACAGTTTGGTGTCCCCAAGGCTTTGATTTCTGATAATGGCACCCAATTCGATGGACGGTTGTTCAGAGGATTTTGTGAGGAATTGAAGATAGAATTCTACAACTCCACCCCGGCCTACCCGCAGTCCAGCGGCCAAGCTGAAGCAACGAACAAGACCATTCTAGATGGATTAAAGAAAAGGCTAGAGAAAGCCAAAGGCAAGTGGGTCGAGGAACTTCCTAGTGTCCTCTGGGCATATCGGACAACTCCGAGACGCTCGACCGGGGAGACTTCTTTTGCCTTAGCATATGGCATGGAGGCAGTTATCTCATTGGAGATCGGAATGCCCATCATCCGCAGCGAAAATTTTGAGCCCGAACTGAACTCTGACGCCATCGCCTTGGAATTGGACCTAGCTGACGAACGCCGTGAAAAGGCGTTAATCCACGTGGCCGCATATCAATAAGATTTGTCCAGAAAGTACAACAAAAGAGTGCACCCCAGACCGTTTAAAGTCGAGGACCGGGTTTTAAAGAAGGTAATGGGCAACACACTGGTGTCGAGCGAAGGAAAGCTATGGGCAAACTGGGAAGGGCCTTATAGGATAATCAGTCTGGCGGGCAGGGGGGCATACCACCTAGAGGACTTGGATGGCAAGAGTGTACCCTGGCCATGGAATGCGGCCAATCTCAAACTGTACTATTTTTAGTCTTTGTCTTTTGTGTATAATTTTTTGTAAAGGGACAAGTTTCCTCTCTATTTACCAATGTAATACTCCATTTGCCAATGTAATAGGAATGAATTATTTTTGCGTAGGAAGTTTGTTGTGTTTAAAGTAATGTAGTGAACGAGGGGCAACCGCCTTATAAGCCGAGATGCTTTACCCCGGCTAAAAAAGTTGATGATTTGTTCAACTCTATGGTTTTAGCCGAGATGTCTTATCTTGGCGAGAAGAGTTGGTGATTTGCTCAACTCTAGTATTTTTGCCAAGATGTTTTATCCCGGCTAGAAGAGTTGGTGATTTACTCAACTCTAGTATTTTTGTTGAGATGTTTTATCCCGGCGAGAAGAGTTGGTGATTTGCTCAACTCTCGTGTTATTGCGGAGATGTTTTACCCCGGCTAGTAGAGTTGATGATTTGTTCAACTCTAGTATTTTAGCCGAGATGTTGTACCCGGCTAAAAGGGTTGATGATTTGTTCAACTCTTGGATTTTCACCGAGATGTTTATTTCGGCTAGATGCATTGATGACTTTGTCAACAAAGTGCCAAGATAATTTTCAATCTTTCAAGACCGAGTTAATTTTCTCGGTTCAATCAATCTGTAACACACTGGGCATGAATAGCACGGTTGCAAGATGGACAACAGCAGACATTACAAGAATATAAGCGAAATGCGAACTTTTCATTAATTGAGAATTTCAATACAAAAGGTGGGGCTTGTAGCCCGGCTACAAAAATTCAAATATAAAAAAAAAAGAAAAAAAGA